TTAAAATAATTCTTTTGTGTGAAAAAAAATACCTGTTGCACATGCGTTTCTATACCAGGTGCGTCTCAAAAGTGGCTCACCCCTATAACTTTTTTATTTTTTCAGATAAAAAAACGAGATTTGGTATGTTAGTTTATGACATAAATTAGGATTGATTGACGGTCTTCAATTGTTTTTGGCCACTTCCTGTTTCACCCGAAATGACTACAACTTTTGATTTTTAAATGACACCCTCGGTATTTTTTACTTTATTCGATAGAAAATGACATTCTGAATAGAATGACATATAATATGTCAACTTTTGATATTCTTGCTTAATAAAAAATCGTATTTTAAAAGTCAATCTAGAGTGCCATGGCTATGTTAAAACACTAATTCTTTGTCAAAGAAGCTTGCAAAAATAGATTTTTGATCGTCTAATGTTTTTAATGTCATGTCCTGGCTAGTTAGAATATGCTTCAATCGTATTTTTAATCATATCTCAATTTTTTCAAATGGAACGACGGTGGCTCATTAGCATATTTGGAAAAGGCATTTTTTACGAATAATTTGATGTCGAATTTGATACACACACTTGGTATTTCGAGTCAAATTTTCGTTAAAAACCGCAAATTATAATTTCAAATAAACCGTATGCGAAAATGTCAAAAATTGACATATGATATGTCATTCTATTCAGAGTGTTATTTTCTATCGAATAAAGTAAAAAAATACCGAGGGTGCCATTTAAAAATCAAAGGTTGTAATCATTTCCGGTGAAACAGGAAGTGACCAAAAACAATTGAATACGTCAGTCAATCCTAATTTATGTCTAATATACCAACTATTTTGTGTATTATATCTAACATACCAAATCTCGTTTTTTATCTAAAAAAATTAAAAAGTTATAGGGGTGATATAATTGGTTAAATTATTTAAATGGTTACCTAATTAATTATTTTTTAGTATAAAGCTAAATAACTAATAAACAGTGTGTTAATCACGTTTAGGCAAATCAAGCAAAAGTATTTTAAGGTGATCAGGTAATTATTTTTTTATCTAAATGCAAATGTAGTTTTCCGAAATGCAAATTTTAATTATTTTATAGTTAGTGGTCCCAAGGGCATGTTAATTATATTATAAAATTCACTAACGCAATTTTTTGCAAGTTTAAACCTACAAAAGCATCCATATTAAATATTACCATTACAACTTCGATCTATGTTTTTAGAATAATTAACAATTAGCGCGGATAATAAATGTTGTTTTTGTCGAACCAACTGGATGGTATTTAATTAATTTTAATAATAGTTAATAAAATATAATATTAAACATAGATTTTATCTACATTAAAACAAATAATTTAAAAATTTGTTAAAAAAACCAATTTTATTAAAAATCATTTTATTATGTCAACACAGAGACTCGCTAAGACAATCCGAGGCCAGACGAGTCCGAGAATTTACTTGTCGTATTCGTATCGCTCAAGACATACTTCGCCTGCAAGCCTTTAAAAAATATTATAAACACACGAACTCTCCTGGAATCAAAACTATATTAGGTATTTACTTTAAATAGTCTATACTTACTTTGCTATAAATATGCTAATCGTAAATCATACAGAATATACAAAATTCTACGGCAAAATTTCAAAAATATAAAATAATTTTTCTTCGTTTTTTTTAATGCCAACATCATGTATATTAATTTTTCAATAGGTGGGGAATTAAAAAATGAACATTTTTTATTATATTTTTATTATATATATATATATATATATATATATATATATATATATATATATATATATATATATATATATATATATATATATAATATTTATATATATTTTAGTGTATTTCAAAATTTTTAACGGTCTCGCATATATTCGCGGTTTTACATTTCATATTGCATTTTCTACAATAAATTTTTATGATTTTCCTTGCGTATTTTACCGTCGTATGAAGTCATATGAAATAATACGGCGTGTATCTACGAATCCATTAAAAATTTTGAAATACTTTAAATAAAAAAAAATCATTTTTTAACTCTCCATCTAATAAAAATATAATATACAGATTGTTCCATTTAAAAAAAAATAAGGAAGGTTGAAAATACATCTTTTTATTTATTTATTAATATTTCTGAGATTATCGAAATATATTTTTACTCATAAATAACTAATAAATAAATAAATAATCTTTATTGACTACTTTTTGTACATAAACGTTACAATTGTAGCAAGTCAAGGGGAAATTACATTAGAGTAAAGAAAAACACAAAGAAACAAATAGAACAAACATAACCAGATTAAAATGTATAAACATACAAATATTTTAAATACAAACAATCACAACTATTTACATTAGTGTGGAAATGTTGGTAGTTGATTTTACAGTCTCAAAATATTCATCCATACTATAGCGCATGCTCTGGGAGGAACTTTTTAATAATAATTTTAAATTTTTTATTGTTTAGATTTTTTACTGGAGGTGGTAATACGTTGTAAAGTTTTACATTCAGAGAGTTCTTATCTGATTTACACAATCGAAATTTATTTGATCTTATTGAACTTGCTAATCTTGTGCCATAGTTATGAATGTCCGAGTTATGGGTAAAAGAAGATTCATTCTTATGTATCTCCAACAGTTGCTGAAGAATATATAAAGACATTAATGTATTTTCAATTTTACGAAAAGTGGTTTACAATGGTCACGAAAACCAGCACCACTTAATACGCGAATAGCTGTTTTCTGCATCCATATCTTCGGATTATGTAAAGTGATCTAAAAGGAAGCCAAAAATGCTATATACGGGGTGTTTCATTTAAAAAAAAAACATCCCGATCACTTACACTTTTTTGAGCTACCCTATAGAAGTTAAAATGTTTTCCTGATTTTTTTTCCTCTCTCGTACATTAGATTTGCACCTAAACAAATTTTTTTATTATAGGAGCTACATATGCCCGACCTAGGTACCGTCTTCTGGTATACCGGTACCAGGACCGGTACTTTTGAAATATTCCGGTATCGGTATCGTCTTTTTCAAGACCGGTATACCGGTTTCGGAACCGGTACCGGAAGACTGGTCTAAATCGGTTCCGAAAGATCGTTTTCAATAGGTACAGAAAAATAGATTCATGATAATATGAAAATCAAAAATCCTGTAAAAAACGATTTCGGTACCGGTTTTTGTGCAAAGCTGATTGGGTTCTCCTACTCCGGGGTAGAGATCTGCATGGGCCGGTTTTTTGTAGCCCGACCCGGCCCGGCCCGAGAAGAGAAGTAGGTTTTGTAAGCCCGGCCCGGTTTGTGGAAAGTTAAAACTTAAACTAGTCCGGCCCGGCCCGAACCATTAAAATAAAATGATCAAAATAAAATTACAAAAATCCTTTCAATTACAATTATTCCAAGTAGTTCTTTGTCGATTCCAGACAATCTATCAATTTCACATAAACATAGCCTAAAAACACCTATTATAATACAGGGTGTCTCAAAGACATGTACAGAAGCAAAGTTGTGTTTATTTAAAGTGCGGAACTGGCCCGGCCCGAGGCCCGACCCCTATTGACAGTGCGAAACCGAAAAAAAAATGAAAAAAAACGAAAAAAAAAATGCCCGAGGCCCGGGTTCGGGCCGGGCCTGGCCTGAGGCCCGTTCGGGCTACCCGGCCCGTGCAGATCTCTACTCCGGGGGTACCGTATGATCGAAAAAAAAACTGGCTATGAAATTAAGATCGCGATGGCTATGAAATTAAGATCGCTGTTATTTTATATGTAAAATTGTATGGGGAATGTAATCGATGTTCATTTCCAAGGTAACTGGATGCCGTTTTTTTATCATTCGGTGTAATACGGTCAGGTACATACAATGTAATTTATTTTGATGTATGGTTAAGGCATTGCTAGTCTAGTTTGGTCAAGTAAAGCATCTTACTCATGGATCACTTATGTATATTGTACAGGGTGTCCCAGAAATAAGTACAAATATTTTAAGGGGTGGTAGATCTCGATAAAAGAAACATATTTTCTCTTTATCGTTTTTCAAATAAATCCAAAATAACGGAGTTATGTTGCTTTGAAAATTTTCAAAAAAAATGATTTTGTGCTAAAATTTTGAGAACCACTGGATCTTTTCTGGATTTTCTTTCATGTAAATTTAATCTAATACCTATGTTGCCATATTATCAAGAAATTATGTTTTTAACTAAAAACTAAAAAAAATTTCCAAAAAACTTTTCAAAAAATTTCGAATCTTCAAATTTTTTTTTTCGCGAATTAAACCTCATTGGCGTGTTTCTGGGGTTGAACTATACTACCAGTTAAAATATTTGCACTTATTTCTGGGACACCCTGTATATATAAATTAAAATGTTCGTAAAACTCAGGCCGATATTCAATAGCGTCTACTCTATTATTTAACATATGTAAAATAGCATCTTATTACCGCTCCATTTATATCTCCAAGAATAGCAGCTTCCAGTATTTTTTCCATCTTTCATAAGTAAAGAGAATGTTGGACAAGAAATCAAGAATATGCCGGAAATGTGAACATAAACAATGAGAATCTTAAGTTATATCAATAACATTATAACGGTAACGGATAGATTTACGATATATTCCGAGAAATCTAATTTATCCCTCAAAATACCGTATTTATAACAAAACTGTTATTCCGGTTCATCCGGTCTTCCGGTCCATCCGGTCTTTCCTTCCCTTCGGTTTACCGATTCAGTATCGGTCCCATTAACTGTTGGAACCGGTATACCGGTTGTAGGACCGGTACTTCGTGATACCGGATTCCGGTACTGAAATCTTAGGACCGAACATCCCTAGCCCGACCCACTCTTGCCTAACCCTGTATATCAAATAATTAAATATAAACATTTTCACTGAATATTTTTTTTATATCGTTAGGATCTAATAATTTCTATTAATACAACAATATTTCGATACTTTTTTTTATCATTTATTATATTTTAAATCATTTATTTAATAACAAAATAATAATTCTGCTCTTCAATGACATATTGGGAAAACATTCAGTCTGGTATTTAATTTCCACTAGAAATAAAACAAATATCGTTACTTTTAGGATATAATTTAAGTGTACCCATTTGTTTTCTTGGCACAATCTGCTACACAACATGTAACTATTTGAACACGAGTAACCATTAATTTCAACTGAACAGTCTTTATTTTTAATAGAAATAGAAAAAGAGCTGCTCGTATAGTATTGATGGTAACTCAGTCTAACAATAACAATAAAATATATATGTACTATAAAATATCTCTACAATATCTAATTGGTCCAGTTTAATTTCAGTAACGATTCTAGAACATTTTCATCTCTATAAGCTAAAATTCCTTTATAGTTGTCTGTCCTAGATCTATCTTTGCTTTCATATTTAACAGCCATTTTTTGGCGGTGTAGTATATCGTCTAAGTGAAGAACGTTACCACCAAGAGCTCGAAGGATTGCGTGCGGTGCACACGTATCCCAAAAGTAAGTTGTTGGTTTTGACAGAAAATATGCGTCTGATAAACCTGAAATTAAAAAAAATATATTTACAGGGTGAGTCTTAAATAAGCGCAAATATTTTCAGGACTGGTAGATTTCGATAAAAGAAACAAATTTTCTCTTTACCATTTTTGAGATAAGTCGAAAATAACCGAGTAATTTAAGTTTGAAAATTAAAAAAAAAATATATTTTTTTTTTAAAAATTTGTATTTGCATCCCTTTTATTGTCGTAGCCATAGAGTAAAGCCGTAACTATGGTAATATCTGAGATTACGGAATTATACCGTTGAAAAATTTGCAGTGAACAGGCAGTTCCAAAAAGTTTTCGAAAAATATACAGAAAAATTTAAAAGAAAATGGACGATTTTAACATCTTTTTTTAGCAAAAAAAACCTCATAGACGTGTTCCTGTGGTCGAAATATACTACCCCTGAAAATATTTGCACTTCTTTAAGACTCACCCAGTATAAATTTGGTACATTTTTAAAAATATTCTATTGACTTATACCGTATGATCGAAAAAAAACGGCGTCAGTGATGGCTATGAAATGAAGTTCGCTATCACTTTTCATATGTAAATTTATATGGGAAATATCATCGATCGTCATTTTCCAGCCAACTGGACGCCGTTTTTTTTCTATTATACGGTAGTTTGATAAAATGTTTTATACGCAAGCAGGCTCAGGACGATGACTACAAATTGTAAACAGTCGTTTCGTGAAGTATACAGTATGCATTCAGTATGGAAGAACATTTTTAAAGATTTCTCTTTGTTTTTTTATTAAATATGTTCGGTATATTACTTTAGTTTTGATTAGCATGAAGATCTATGTTGAGAGTGTTATTCTATTCAGTGTATTTTTTTTTGATTATTGATTTGGCTTTTCCAATGTTGTTTGACTTCTCACTTTATTATTGTTTGACTCTATTATTGTTTGACTTTATTATTGGTGAGTGTTAAATAAGTGCAAATATTTTTAGTGGTATTATATTTCGACCCCAGAAACACGATTATGAGTTTTTTTCGGGAAAAAAAAATAAAATTTGGAATTTTTTGAAAAAAAAATTGTTTTTTTTTTAAATTTTCAGTTAAAAACCTTTTTACCTTTTTAGTTAATATAGCAACATAGGTAGTAGATTAAATTTACGTTTGGTAAATGGCAAAGAGAAAATATGTTTCTTTTATCGAAATCTCTACCTGCCCTGAAAATATTTGCAATTCTTTCAGACTCACCCTGTATAATGCTCCATGATTAGGTTGTGATCTTGTATTCAAAAAAATAACATTTATCATTTATATTAATAAAAAAAAATAATTTTTTGTGACAAATTGGAAATAAATTCTTTGACAAGCCATATAATCAAAAAAGTCGTACATTTAGAGGACTTTTTGTCTCTACAATATAGGACTCATCGCACTCGCAAGGTACCTTGTAGATGCACTCTTTCTCTTCTTTTATTTCTTAGCCCTAGGCTAAGAAATAGTTTTAATTTGATGCTGCTTGGGCTATTCGCATGATATTTTCTAATGTTTCTTTAAATATGAAATCGTCAAGTGAGAGAGAGAGAGAGAGAGAGAGAGAGCAACTTTCTCAGGCTAGCACACCAATAAATCATTTATGCAATTGGATATGATCTTGCCTAGGGACTTTTTAGGGGCAATTTAAATATCCTTGGCCACTGCATATAGTGATTGTTTGATGACACAATATCTTTACTATTCCTCTTTTGTTTCAGAATGGTTTAGAATGGTTCAATTGAGAATTTAAATACTCGCCCCTACGTGTAGGGTTTTTAAATAGTTCGGAGATCCATCGTTTCTACTCACAAGGGCATCTAGAAATGGTAGACAGAAGTGTTTCTCTTTCTCAATCGCAAATCATTAAAGAAAAGTTACTTTGTAAATTGAGATGATTAAGATAAGAATCCAATTTTCTATCGGTTTTATTCCAGGTTATATGTTTATATTAATAACGCGTAATAATTGACTCATGTTATTTTCAAATTCTTTTCAAAATACCCACTACCCACCTATAATCACTGTCAGTAATTTATAACCAGCTCCTCTTGGAGACACCAGTGTATAGCCACCATCCCGTAAAACCTTCAAGTTTTCTTCGTTTTCGTTACTACTCACACAAATAATTTTATTATTTGTCGAACAGGTATCATTAACTGTAGACATTTTGATTTGGCTGTTACCATTTTGATAACACACTCCCCAATGACATTGGTAGCTAAAAAAACGAACATTAAACATTTTAATAGTTTTATTTGAAATGAAACTTTAATTTTCTAATTTATATGATACATATTATCATTGCTTTGAACAAAATAAAACTTTTAAAATTTGTTTCTTGGAATTCGGTTTCCTCTGCACAACTCTAGTATCTAGCTACTGAATGTAGTAAGTATCGTGTGGTATTTATTGCACAAAACATCATGGTCATCAATCTCTGCGTTTTATATCATCAATGATGTTTCATATAACAATTTGTTTTAAATATTATGTTTTCATAACTTTGGTTGTAGATTGTAATATATGTAATATTGATCTTCTTTAGCTTTTGGTTACATACCATAAACAAAATACTAAAGCTAGTCCCTAATTTAAGTTATTCCTATCTAAATATGTACGAAGGTAAAAATAATATAAAAGTGTTCTTATAAGTTAAGCAAAATATAATAGAAATCAGAGACTTTTAGTTAGTTAAAAAGTTTATAAACCAAGTAAAAAAACTTGTATAAACCGGCGTGGAATTTCTTCTTGCTGTAAAAACTTATAAAGAATAAAAAGTTTTTCAACATTCTCGAAAAGCACAGCTTATAGTTCAACTATAGGATTAGGAAAATGTAGATAACAAAAACGTATACATTGATATAAAGTGGAAAAATGTTCCATTTTATTTCGAATTTAAATTTAGAGAAGCAGAAAATTTGAAATAAGAGTAAAGCGGATTTAAATACGTCCAAGTTTATTTAGTTTATTTTCTTATGTTTTGTTGTATAAAGTTTATATTCTATTTATACATTGTTTTAAAAGTTCTATATCTAGTAAAATAAAGAAAAAAAACTTAATATATCGCTATTTTAATGCAACACGTTTTTAGAGGTATCAAATTTATTGAGAGTAACTTTTTAGGTTTTTAGGAAAATATAGCGTTACGAAAATATAAAGCGTTAATAATGTTGGAAAAATATAAATGTTAATAAAGGTATATTCACTACAGTTGACTACTTTACTGATATAGTGCTGTTAACTAAAGTTTCAGTAAATATGGAATAAAATGACAACACCGCATAGCACTGGAAATAAAAATAGCTTAGTATATGCAGAATTTTATGTGTTTCCAATTTCCGTGTAATCTAAATCTGTACAGGAAAAATAAAGGGAGCAATTTAAACAAAACTTAAAGCTTCATCATAACTTTTTTTGGCACACCCTGCATACAACAAAATATTTTTAGGATATGCCCGTGCTTCGTTTAAATTGTAGGTATAACCAAAGAATATTTAATTATAATATTCTTTTCCTAGGCATCGATCACCAGGATCATTAGCCAAACTCGTTATTGTTAACAATGCAATTACAGGGATCTATCTCAATATCCTCAAGGGGATCACTCTTACAAGGGCAATTCAAAATTTAAAAATCTACATTGACATAAACATTTCAAGTTGAGTGACAAAAAGATCAAAAAACTAAACAGAAAATAAAGAAACAAAAACAAATAACAAGAAAAATAGGTAATTATTTACATCACACTATCACAGTTGGATTAGAGTATCACAGTTGGTGGTATCTTTTATAAAGTTCAAAATATTTTTATTTTTTTCTTCTTCAGTTAAATTTTCACGGATTTCACCACTTATATCGAATCTACTTCTTTTTATCGTATATTGAGGACATTAACATTTATGTGAGTTACTGCCAACTCAACATCACAGATTATGCACATTGGAGGTATTTCTCTTTTAAGCAAATATGCACGAGTCCCCGCAGTATGCCCAATACAATTTACTAATATAAGGGAAATCAATGGTATCTTTTCTAGCAGCTTGCTGAGCAGCTTCATCTGCCATTTTATTGCCAAATATGTTAGTGTGGCTTGGGACCCATACAAATGGACCCATTCGCTGCACTCTTGCTGGATAAATATTCATTAATTTTAGACACGATCTCTAAAGAGTCAGAAACAATTAAAACTCTAGTTTGACTATATTCCTCGATGACATAGGATAAGGCTTTGAAGATCGCAAAATGTTCTCTGAAGAAATGTTATAAAGTTATAATATTCTTTGGTATAACATGTATAGAAAACAGTTATTATTTTTTTGAATGAATATTAAAGAGATTAGATGAATATTAAAGAGATTAGATAAAGAGATAGGTACCAGGTGGCGTAGAGGTACAGGCTCTCGTCTACCAATCTCAAGGTGTGGGTTCGATTCCCTCACCCGGCATTTCGTCAGCCGACTATTTTTATTAAAATAAAAATAGTTTGGGTACCTAGGTCGACTCAGCCTTAAATGAATACTTGGGATTCACAATCCTGAGGTAATAATAGGCCGTTGAAGCGTAGTGCTAGCCACATTACCTTCCTTGTATACCGAACGGCTCTAGTATAGCAAGCTGTACTTTGCTACTCCCAAGGGCGTTAAACGCTATATACGGGAGCTATTATTATTATATTAAAGAGATAATAGTCATACTAATTATAATTTATTATACCGTGAATACACTAATTATATAAAATTCCACTTCTAAATTCTTTATTTCTAATATAAATTATTACAGAATACGAACCTGTTCCTCTTGCTTTTCTCAAAAAACGGTTGATTAATTACACCTATTATTGGCACACCATTTTTGTCATAAACTCCTATTAATACTGTAACACATTTCAACCCTTTTAAAAATATTTCACCGTCTTTGACATCTTCTTTGGCTTTTATATACTCATTTGTTCCATCTGGGAATAAATTTTGCATTAAATTAACACAAAAATTAAAATATATCTATATATTTATACCTATTGGATCAATCCATATGCCTAGTTCATCAATATTTATATCAAAATCGTACTCAGGCATTTTGGTGTCAATTTCACTAAATGATATATTTTTATGCACTTCAGCTGCTAATATTGCAGCAGTCTCTCCATCCATAATATTTAGTAGCATTTTTGTTGTCTCCTCTTCAGACGATTTAATTTCGATATTTACCTCTTCACCTAACCGATTCCAGAAGTGACAATTTTCTTCACCCTCAATCTTTGTTTTGATTTCTGGAAACTAAAAAAAATATTAAGAAATAATTTGATCGGTGGAAAATACAGTATGTTCAAGTAATTTGTATTAGTATATAGTAGTAATTGCATAAAAAAATTGCTATCTATCGTATATGATACACGATACAAATTGTAACTAGCCAAATTTTGGTTTCTTGAGATGTAGAAAATTTTAAGAAAGAAAATTAAAATATAGTTTTTCCTTATACAGGGTGGTGCCTATCATACGACGCGAAGGCTCCAAGGAGAACGGCAGTTTATATCCAAATGAAATTTTGGGAGCATAATATGTAGGTTAATTGAAAGCATTTTATAAATATATACAAAGTTTCACAGGGTGTCCCCAACAAAAGCTACGCATCAAAATTGTTTTTTTTTGTAATGGAACACTCTATATGTTAATTTATTTTCGGATTCTAGAATAAAAATAAAGGTGAGTTTCATTAACGAACCATATGTCTAAAATGTAAGGATTTTGACATATTTCACATTTTGTGAAATTAAAGAATAAATTTCAAATTTCAAATAACAGCTATCTAAATTGTAATTTACTCTGTATAACCTGATATTTAATTACAATACCCCTTGAATATTAAACCAAATTAAAATTTGACCCGAGGTTATACAGGAGATAAAATTAATATTGGACATTGGTCAGTTCTAGAAGCAAGTTACTCCTTTATTTTAATGAAACATCTAATATAAAATTCGGGTATTCAATGGGGAATTTATATATCTTTACTATTAAGGTTGCCTATCCCCAAATAAAGATTTTCCTAGATATTTTAATTTTTATGATTTTGCGTCAGTAGATATTTACTATTTGATAAAATCTAGATGGCTGTATGTACCTTTTGTTAATTTAACAAAAATTACAGGATCTAAAGTAAAATATTGAACGGTAATAAAAATATACACGTTTAAAATATATTTTAATTTTTACGGAATTAAAACGAGACATAGACATATAATTATGTGATAAAAAAATAGATAGATGAAATCAAATGCTCAAAATGCTTCCTTTCCTGTTCACTGCATAAAATGGTTCTATTTCTTTTCATGATAAAAAGCATATGTGGAGTTCTACTTCAAAAGACAACCACTTCTTTAAACAACCGTCTTTAATATCCCCATAAAAACGTCCAGATTAGATAAATCACGATCATATTTACGTATTCTATTAATTGTTGAATGCACACTGCCATTCACCAACTCCTAGAATCATATCAATTCTTTCTGATGTAGGATAAGTTTCCATTATCGACTGAAATATTTTTTTTTTATTTTCTGAGATTTTTTTTTGTTTTAACTGACACTAAATGATAGCTAGTTATTAAAGTTACTAATCTGACAGCAATGTTGAAGTAACGGCAGACAAATCACAGCCACCTAGATTTTATCAAATATTAATAATCTACTAAATCACAATTTAAAATTCTAAAGAGAAATGACACTAAATCATAAATTTAAGATATCTAGGAAAATATTTGTTTGTGCGGTAGGCAACCCTAACAGTAATTTGAAGAGATGAATTCCTCATTGAATATCGAAATAATATGCTGCCTGTTCTATTTAAAATAAAAGAGTAGCTTGCTTTGGTGACCAACGTTCAATATTAACTTTGTATCACCCTGTATAACTTTTTGGGTTAAACTTTAACTTGGTTTAAAGTATAATATAGTAAAATAGTTATTGTAACTACATATTAGCCTATATTGATAAGTTCCAATTCAGGTAGCTTTTATTGAAAATTAAAAATTGTTCTTCATTTTACGAAAATGTTAAATATGTCAAAAATCTTACATTATACTCATATACTTCTCTAATAAAACTCACCTTTATTTTTGTCCTAGAATCCAAAATTAATTAATTAATATATAGTGTCCCAGTGAGCAAAGTTGTGTCACATTTAGGGAACATTAGGGAACAGTTACATATCTGCTTCATATTGCTTCATATAAGGCACAAGAAGGGCCTGGTAACGTAACAACGACGTCATCTAGAACAGGTTTCCCTTAAAGAAATAAAATGCTCACTGGGGTGTTCCATTACAAAAAAGATACGATGTGTACACTTTGATGTGTAACTTTTTTGAGGGCACCCTGTAGAACTCATTATGTTTAAAAAATACTCTAAATTAACCTACACATGCTCACAGAATTTCATTTCATTACAAAGTGTCGTTCTCCTTGGAGCCTCCGCGTCTTATGAGAGGTGCCACCCTGTATGCACCTAAATTTTCTTAGAATACTGTTAAGGTTTTCACTAATCATGCTTACTTTCAAACTGACATCATGTCTAACCATCTCTTGAATTAAAACATCGGCTAATGTTTTAAAATCTTCATGAAACTTAGGGTTTGCTTCCGAAGAATCCTTTTGCTCAGTAAGTATGTTAAGTAATCTGTCATTTTGGCGAAGAATTCTTGCTATATTGGCAGCTTTTTCTGAGGCAATTATAAGAGACTTTAAAATATCCATTTAAAATCTAAAAGACATCTCAATATATTTTAAAACTTAAAATAAATCATTTTATAATACTTACAGTTTAAACGGTCTTAAGAATACCGGTATTGATTTTTGGTTATAGTTTTAAGAAGCCTTATAATTTAATTTAATATTAGATGAGAATATGTATTCGGGAAAGTTAGAGGAAGAAAAATTAAAAGAAAACTTATCAGATCTCTCCATGACGATTTTGTGGAAACCCCGAAAATTCAACTAAAAGGAAACGGTGTTTACAATCGGATGTAGGTCATCGGCGTGCTGGAAATTTTAAAATAGATTTCCTGCGCGTTTATGTCGAGGGAAATTCTGTATTGAGTTTCCCGATGTCTGGACATTTCCCTCATAGATGGCGCCCTTTTTGTTTTCCAATTTTAAAGATTAAATAAGAAAATCGGTTTTGATTTTTAGTTGTAGTTTTAAGAAGCCCTATAATTTAATTTTATATTAGATAGAGGTGTGTATTCTGGAGTGTTATATGAAGAAAATTAATGACCCAAGACGATTTTGTAGTCAAACGAAAAATTGAACTAAAAGGAAGCGACGCGACGTTTACAATCGCGTTTATATCGAGGGAAACTGTATTGAGTTTCCCGATGACTGGATATTTTTCCCATAGATGGCGCCTCTTTTAGTTTTCTAATTTTAAAGATTAAAGAGCCTGAAATGATGTAAACTAGATGGTCAGTATATATCACATATTTGAAATATAATTCTGAAATACAAAACATACATTTTCAGATTCGTATTTTTAATTTATTAGTCTAAATAACTTGAAGTTGATTAGTGTTAGGTTTAAGGGACAATCACTATCATCCATCTTAGAAAAATTTGTTAACATATGTTTCTATTTGTCTTCAAAACAGAGTAAAAATATAAAGTGCATAGTGCATTTAATATCTTTATAATATCATTTTGTATACACTTAACACCGAGAATCAAATTACTTAATATTAAATCTATATTTTCGTATTTTATATTTTATTCACTTCCTGTTTTACAGTAAATGACGACAACTTTTGATTTTTAAATGGCACCATCGGTATTCGATAGAAAATAACACTTTGAATAGAATGACATATGTCAACTTTTGACATTTTCGATTAAAAACTTGTATTTTAAATTTCAATGTGCCATGATTGTGTTAAAAAATATAATTTTTAAACAAGGAGCCTTGGAAAAATATATTTGATCGTCTAATGTTTTTTGTGTCTTATCTCAATTATCTGAATATATCTCAATTTTTTCAAATGGAACAAAGTTGATTCATTAGCATATTTGGAAAAAGCATTTTTTACGAATAATTTGGTACTTTGGTACCACATACTTGGTATTTCGAGTCAAATTGTCGTTATGAACTACATGTTACAATTTCAAACAAACCATATGCGAAAATAGCAAAAGTTGACATGTGATATGTCATTCTATTCAGTGTATCATTTTCCATCGAATAAACTGAAAAAAAGAAATACAGAGGGTGTCATTTAAAAATCAAAAGTTGTACAGGAAGTGACCGAAAACAATTAAATACCCGTAAATTGGGACTGATTGCCCAATTTATGTCATAATATACTAACATACGAAATGTGTTTTTTTTATCTGAAAAAATAAATTATAGAGCTATAGAGATGAGCCACTTTTGAGACGCACTCGGTATAATCACAGCTGTTAATTACAATATACATCCAGCATTTAAAACAAGGTTAGAAATTGAACGTAATCAGCATAGTAACTTTTAATCAATACAGAATGGCAATTCTGTATACCGTTTAATTATTTATTAAATATCAGCAACGTAAAAGAACTTTTTACATATAACATGTACAATGTACAGGGTGACAATTTGAAAACGAACAGTATTTAATATTACCTCTACCGATGTTAGTATGAAAATTTGGCGAAATACGTCAATTTACATATCAAGGGGGACAAGTTTTAAGGCATTCGTATTACTTTCAACCCTTTGACCCCCAGGGCACCTACCCCTAAAATTTTAAATGGCAACCCCTATTTCTTTTACCAGTTTTGTGTTCCTTATAAAATTCTCAAAAAAATAATGCAGTTTATGTAGAATTCAATAAGAAACACAAAAATGGTAAAAGAAATAGGGGTTGCTATTTAAAATTTTAGGGCTAGGTGCCCTGGGGGCCAAGGTTGAAAGTAACACTCGCCTCACAAATGCCTCAAAAATTGTCCCCCTTGATATGTAAATTGACGTGTTTCTCTCGCCAAATTTTCATACTATCATCGGTAGAGGCAATATTAAATACTGTTCGTTTTCAAATTGTCACTCTGTATAACGGATTAGCTATAAGAAAAAAGATGTATTTATTTTTCTAAACGTTTCACAGTTAAAAGAAAAACCCAAACTTTCTAAAATTAAAACTTTTTCAAAGGAAGAGTAAATTAACAAAATTTTAACAATTATTGTCATTAATATTTTAGTTTAATCATATCATGATTTGAAAGAATTAATTATTAACATGAAAACACTAATTAATTTATAGGAGCTTTATTTTACAATATTTTATAAAAGCTTGGCACATAATTTCTTAACAACTACTTACGTTTATATAAGAACTAATCATTTACAAAAATAGAACCGTTTAATTCAATTTTATCCTAATAAATAAACTACATTTAAAAATAATATAATATTTACATTAATAATTTCTCTGTACTTTGAACGTGGTGTTAACTGAGCTATATACAAAATATGAACTAAATAACTAAATATTATAAACAAAAGTAACTAAGTACAGCGACACCAATAAAGTTTTTATAGATAATTGAGTAGTTATAATTTAATTGCTAGAATTAATTTATAAATTTATGTTAATCTAATTAAAAAAATACTGAAAATTAATGATGGTAATTACAAATTAATTATTCCTAAGATTTATAAACTGTATAAGTTTAAAAATTATATCTAAATTTTTGGAATTTGGGATAGTTATGAATCTAAAAATATGGAAAATACTGTTACATCTTCTATAATAAATTTATCTATATTAAAAAAATCTTATTTAGCTGTTTAGGGATAAAAATACTTAGTAGAAGCTATAAATATTTCATTAACAACAGTAAATGAAGAAATCAACCATAAAAATATTATGTTTTGTTTATGTTGACTTTTATCTTGCCTAACTTTATGGGCATCCCTGCAGTTTAATAGCAACTAATATTAATTTTAGATAATAACAATAATATACATCTTTAAATACTATTCAACATTTATTTTGTTTATATGAACAAATGAGCAACACATATGCTGGAGGGTATTGATCAAACAATCTATATCCTTTTCTGTTCTATTCTATTTCGAAATTTAGTATCTGTATTTAACGATATTTTAGAAATAATTTATGCTAAATTATTTATACACTAAATATTTCAATTAGTATTTGTGTATCACATTTTAAAGCAGGTTATTTGGCTAAGTAAATATACAAATCATCTACAGTTACTGAAGAAGATTATTACTAATAATAGTGTTGTCAACAGTAGTGAAGTCAGATTGGAAGATGCTTCTGAAGGTGAGAAGAAGGACACTGAAAGAAAATACATAATTAAAGCTTATGAAAATACATCCTTTCGGTAAAATATATCAGTGGCACACTGTTTACTACAAGTTCGGTGTCCTATTTGAGATTTTAACTGGAGGTTATTTTTCAACTTTGAAGACGAAATTCGTTATTATAAAGTATCTTTAGTTAAAAAAAGTATATCGTTTGGTTTGGTTTGTAGATGTTTGTTCGTGATAGGTTGTTTCAAAATAAATAAATAAAATATAATTTAATATATTTTTAAAAACTACTTTTTCAATGTTAAAATTATACATATACTGATTATGTATATACTGAACCTGACATCGGTCATTTTATTAGAACAGCTGTAAGTCTGTAAGTTTTTGTCACCCTGTAAATTTAACAGGAGACGTGTTAAACTAAATCTCCAGATAGATATAAAACTTTACACCGATCTGTGTATACTGTTTTATGTAGAACCAATCTAAATTTAGATCAAAATGAATTTTCAATTAGGCTAAATTGACATTTAGATAGTTAATAATCAAATCAAATCTATTAATTAAAAAATATCAGAACGACAAACCAAGTACAGTCAGCAAAATAGAACACTAGTTTACCACAATACACTAAAATACTACCGTATGACCGAAAAAAAAAACGGCGTACAGTTTGGCTTATCAATGATGATCGATGACATTCCCCATATGATTTTATATATAAAATGACAGGGATTATTATTTCATACCCATCACTGACGCCGTTTTTTTCTCGGTCAAATTTGACCCTAGTCGCGCGTTTCCCTACCCATGTTAGCATCATTAAAACAGTTTTAATTATCTGCTGATGATGAGTGTATTGTGGAAAAACTACTATTTTGTTTTTGTAACGCCAAACTGTTAACACAATTTTAATTTCAAAAAATGTTAACTACTTTTAAGGAAAGGTAAAATAAAGGATTTTATCAGATAGAGTAAATGAGCTCTATAGCCACAGTCAACTGGGTGTTGCATGTCAACACTAATGCTACGTGAAGTGTTCAAAATCCTGTATATTATAAAACTGTCGATTATGACATAAAAGTTGAAGAAAAATGCAAATTTTGATAAACATCAGTTTTGGCTTGATTAGGGCCATCTATCTGAACCATCAACATTCATGCGTAAAGCTGGCCAAAGGTGATATTAAAATAGTTGTGCTATTAATAGAAGTCAGTGAGGAATGCGCTACAGCTCGAAAATCTTGGCCAGTGATAGATATCCAAAAAACAAAACAACTACTAGAGAGAAAAACAAAACAACTACAAAAAGAGCCTAGTACGCATAATTGTAGGTGTCATCACTGGAAAATGCCTCACGGGAGTGAACCTCGTGAGATGGAAGGTTTCCAACGACGACTGCTGAGGTGAATGAGGAGGGATAGAAGAAACCATAGAGCACCTGCTTTGCCATTTGTCCAGCACTGGAATACCGACCCTTTAAAACTTTAGGTCAAGATTTTTTGGAGGGACTAGAGGAAGCAGCAGAAGCCAATATCAGCGACATCGGGAACTTTGCAAAGACCTGGAAGTACTTTAACGCAAAGAAAGAATGAGAGGAAGGTTTGGCATAATATAACTGGGGTATTGTCATTACAATATTACTATACATTGGCCCATTGGCCCATTGGCCCAAGGTCTCCGAGTAAGGGACCAAACAGGATCTCAAACCCCAGCAACCTAATCTAAGAGAGGTTAGTTTATTTTTCATATCTAATACAAGAGAGAGAGAGAGAGAGAATGCAAGAACGATTGAGAAAAAAATATGCAATCTATCAGTGTAATAAACAAGAGAGTAAACTAAGCCTTTTAACAAGCTGGCAGTTAGACGTTTGGTTTGACTTAAAAGAAAAATACATGCATTAGAAAATTTTATGTTATTTTAAATATTACATAAGTATTAAAATTTAAACCAAAATCTTACGTATAGTTCGTGGAAATTCTTTTTCAGGTTTCTCATCTTCAGCGTCGTAATAAAGATCTTCTGGTTTTGGCGGTGGAAGAGTTGATATCACCATACGGTCCGGGTGATGATTTCTACGTCGTTTTTTGAACAAATCTACATTTTTCTCTACACTCCTGAGGTACACATCAAATAGACTCACAGTACATTTTACCTTCATATAACCGTTAATATAAAACTTTTTTGAAAGATGATGACGTATTGTGGATACAACTCTAGAACAAACATATTCAAATTTACATACACAGTAATTGGTACATATCTATTATTAGATATGGATCAATGATGCTCACCAACAAGTAAGAAAGATTAACAAAATGTATTTTGGTTGGATATTTATACAATCTAATTTCTGAACCATTATAATGAATTAGTATTTTTTTTTAACTCAAAGAAATTCAATGTAATAAGCCTATTTCTTAAAACGATTGTTTTGTAGACACTTGAATCACTTTGTCTAGTTTACATAATTATTGAAGTTTATTGCAATTCAAATTAGAGGTAGTCAAATTATAATTAAATGACCATCGATATGCCAGTGTATCAACAGTCTGAAATTTAACATTTTTAATTTTCCGTATTATATTATACAACATTATTATATTATATTAAAGATTAAATTCGTAAAACTTAATGTCATTTAAATATTTTACCAGACAACTCCACATTAAAATTACACTAAAAACGAATACTAATAATAGCTAAACCTGTCAAGTAATTTTATAACTTAATTATTGTAAAATAGTATTTCTAATTAAATATTGTACCTATATTTACAAACTTCAAAAGAATAAAAAACAGTTTGTAATGCACAATTCCTGAAATTAAAAGAATTTATGTTTCCCTAAAGGTTTTCGACATAATTTTCCTTTCACGTAACACTTTATTTGCTTTTATATTTTTGACTTTATTCTTGTAATGCCATGCTCTTTAAGGAGCGTTGACGATCTCTCGGGGTTATTAACTTGTGATGTGTGTCGTCTGTTTTTCGATACTTCATTTTAAAAAAAATATATTTTTTTTGAAACGTCACAAAAATGTTAATTTTTGCGACATGACTGACAATATAAAAAAGTAATTTTAACGCCTAGGCATATAAGTAAAGCACGGGAGTATGTTATTAAAGTGACATAAAGTTTCAAATTGAACGAGCGTAACCATAGTTTCTCGATATACATATAAGTACATACCAGGTATGACTTTTAAATATTATTTGGAACGTTTATAGTTATTAACGTAATAAGGCCGATAAACAACAAATAACGGCCGGGCTGAAGTTTGTGATCCGAGGCGATAGCCGAGGATCATAAGCAGCCAAGGCCGTTATTTGTTATCGGCCGTGTTGCGTTCTAGATTTTTCGTCATACTGCAGATTTTTTAGAGCAATAAACACTACTATTTAATAACAAATTTTATTGAACAATAACACAAGTAAGGATAAAAATACATAATGTCTTATACTAAAATTCATTTTTCATGATAATGAACATGGAAATTAAAAGTGCACTTGTTGTTCTTAGAAATCTGTAATCCTTCCCAGGGATTTACAGATTTTATAGAAGAAGATGATGCTACTGAAGAATGGCAAATATTTGTATCCACTAAAGACACATTATATTTTGGAGCTATCATGAAAAAGTTGATTTGTTATTTTCATTCTTTTGGAAACTGATTTTTCTATGTAAGTTTCTGCCACTGTTGAAGACTCCCATCCTCCTAGCTCCTTTAGCGATAGTAAATCACCACCATTTTCGGCGAGCATGGTTGCTGATGATCTACGAAATGAATGCCCTGTATAACGTTCTGGATTCTCCAAGTTCAAAAATTTTGCAATTTTCTGCGGTACGCTCCCGATGGTATGTATACCGACGATTTGCTTAACACACTTGCCTTTCTTGTAACCAATGAAAAATTTTGGATTGTCAAAGTTACGAGGACGCAGGTTGATGTATTTTTGTATAAACCATAGGCATCAAACGGAAGGCCCGTTTTGGAATAAGAAATTTCCTATCTTTCTTATTTTAGTATTTCTTAATGAGACAAGAATATTTTTCTCCGAATCTTCGAAATCATCAACTGTGAGTGACCAAAGCTCGCTGCGCCTACAAGCTCCAAGAATACCAAGCACCAATACAATTTTTTCGAGTAACCAGGTGTAATCATCGGCATCCAGTAGAAAATTATTTATGTCATTCTCCGACAGAACTTTGGCTTTTTGGTGAATAACCTTCGTTTTTGCGCCTCAGAAACATGAACAGTTTACCAAATCTATGAACAAATATAATTTAGATGAGTATGATTAAATATCGAAGAATATAATGGCTTTTACCTTGATATGTCGATGTTTTCATATACTCTCAACGCAAGCTTCAGCATGGATATCTTTGTCCACAGTGATGTAGGAGAATACATTTCAGACATTCTTTTAGCATAAGCCAGCAATACCGCTTCATTTACGCTGTTTATACTTCTATCCTGCCGCCACTTCAAAAAATTGTCATATTCCTGCTGATATCTCTCTCTGGTTATAGTCGGAAGTATAATTTTGAGTAGCCGCAGCCGCTTCCTCCTGTATTTCCAACGGAATTTCTCGCGACATCTCGCTATGGTCTATTTTCCCAATTTTTGAAAAGTCCAACTGACAATAAATAGTCATTGTTGCAGGTGACAGACGTTACGATTACCTTAGAAACTTAACGGCCGCCGACCGTTATGATAACGTCCGGCGGACGTTATATGCATCTTTTCCATTCTGATTTTGCTTATGTTATAATAATATAACAATATAGTATGACGAAAAAATGGTTTAAAACCTTATTTGTGGCGTTTGAAAAAAAAATGTTCTATTCGGAGTAAAAATGAGTTTTTGTGCCTCGGCTATATTTATGTCGACAAACCAAACTAAACCAATTCAAACGTAAAAAGTGTCATTTTTACTCCTAATAACAATATATTTTTTACTAATATCACAAAAGTATTAATTTTAAAGACACTTTTTACTTACGTTATATACGATTAATAATACTACGTTACTTACGTGATTAGACTTCCCCTATTAAACGTATGCTTCATAACGTGAGGTCCTCTAATGGGTAAATCATTAATAAACCAAGTAATATTCGGAGAAGGGTAAGACTCCTCGCATGTACAATTAGCGTGAAACGTTCTATCTTCAGACGTGTAATAGCGATGTTTCAGACCAGTAATATAGGGTTCTTTTTTTGGCAACTCCACAACCTAAAAACAATAAAAATTATACAAACAAATCTCAAACTCAACAATTAGTTGCCGATATAAAATTATCTTTTTACCATTGAAATCGAGATTGAAATAGTTTTAAATCTGTTCTGTAATATTGTCACGGCCCATTTTGTGGGTTATGACTAGGGGCATAGCAAATAATAAGTACTTCAATTTAACTTAATAATCAATTTAATTAATCTACGAATAATACAATAATTATAAAACTAAATGTGTACTTACATATTATATTTATGGACGAACATCATCACTGGCTCGGGGGTAGTGTCAGGGTAGTGTAACGCCAATGCCGGAATCTCGACCGCGACCTTATCGAACTTATTATCGACTATCGACTGTCGACTGTCGACTGTCGACTGTCCCCCCAACAGGTGACATTTTTGTATTTATTGGTTCGTTACGTCGAATCATCGAATCAGCATTATTGGTCTATCGGTGCGATGACCGGTGCGATGACCGCGTTAGTGCTGATTTGATGATTTTACAAATTCGTAGTATTGAAAGGAAATATTTTCGCAATTGCCAATTATGCTTATAACTTTGATTTTAAAACTTTACTTTTGTTGCGTAAATGCCAATGAACTTTAATTATTTTATACTTCCTTTCAATCGAATTATTAATTTACGAAATATATTAATATTAAATATGTTATTTTATATATCGAATAATTCCATCCTTGACACTTCCCCCGCACCTCTAAAGCTGGACCCCAGCGATAATTCAAGATTTATGAAATTATACTTTTAACAATAATTATACATTGCAATAGTTAAATTGTGCTTAATAATTAACGTTTCATAATAAAAAAATGTATTAAGTATACAATATTAAAAAAAATTTAAAAAAAATGTTTTTAAAGAAATAACTAACTTAAAAAAAATATAAAAAAAGCTTCTCTATAAGTTTAACGATGGCGATTAGCCGTTTACATATAGACAATAAAAATGTCTTTTAATACTGGCACTAACGTGAACTGCACAATACCTATATAGTTTTTAAGTTTCAATACTTTGCACTGACTTCGTTCATAAAACACCCACCCACAAATCTCGTCGGCTGCTCACGGAGGCTGAAAACTGAAGTTTTGATTGTAGTATCCACCTTCACATCATAAACCTAACGAATGCACACATGCCTCCCGTTCCCTGCACTTTGAAAAGCTCTTTGTTTTGGTAAGCTGTTTCTCAATACTTGCGTCCTTAGGGAGTTGTTTCTTGATATCGGTGTAGGCTGACAATGGAAACAAAATTCCAGTATGATTTTGTTTGTCATCTGGATTGGCGTCGAATTCATCTTTCGAAGAAGAGACCAGTTTTTAGACAAGACAATAACTCTTCCTGTAGCTGCTTATATCGCCAAACCAAATTTGACAGCACGTTCTGAACCCATTTTGAATTGGACTACTTGCTTCGGACTGCATTACCATGGTGTACTGTTCACAAAGCTTCATAAACAAGGGTAGGCAGTTTGCATCGTATAGGCATGATGGTGTGGTACTACATTCTTCTTTCTCCTTCGGGGTTGAGTCCATACGTCGATTCTTCTCAGTGGTGTTCCTTGACTTGTTGCTTGGTATTGGCAGTTTTGACCAGTAATTACATGAAAAAAAAGAGAACAAAGAGTAAATATGTGCTCTTACTTACAGCTTATTGTATTCAATTATTATGACTTATAAACTAGTTCTTAAAGTATATCAAACTTAATCCTATTTTAAGTTTGTTTGTTTAATTTCATTTTTCAACTTAGTTCAGAATATCATTTTTTTTTGTTCTTGACGGCAAGGGAGAATATAAAAATTTTATATGATTGGGCGTAAAACAAACAATAAACTTATATTTTCGTTGCAAATTTGTAGGATTTATGAACACTCCTACCTAATTTGTATGCCCTCTATCTCCTACCTACATTTGGGTTTATAATAATTTACTTTTTTATATGATTGGGCGTAAAACAAACAATAAACTTATATTTTCGTTGCAAATTTGTAGGATTTATGAACACTCCTACCTAATTTGTGTGAAATATTCTATTAGTTAGACACGCAAGAAAGTTAAAAAAAATATTTTCATTTTAAAAATTACATCTATTTAAATGTTTTAAACGCCTACTATTTCGTCTTTTTAACTTTATAAAGTGATTCCAAATACTATAAATAATTAAACATAAAAAGAAAAGAATAAAAAAGTGCAAACTATCACATAAAGTATGTCATGAGACGTATCGTTATCATGTTTCACAGCTTAACTTTAAATCATTTGAATTACGTTTCCTAGTTTCATCTACTAAATTTAATTTTTGCTATAAATTGTGGTATAACGGTTTTGAATATAAAACTTTACTTCAAACCTGAGATTATACCTATTATAATTACGATTAAAATTACGATTTTTTTAATTATTTATACTTCTGTCACATAAAATTACTGTGTCAGCTAATGGTATATATAGAAATTAGAAATATATCACTCGATTTTACCTATTTTATATATTGAATTAAGAAATCTAAAAAAAATTTTGTGTATGTTCAGACTTTTGACTAGATAATTAGAACGAAAATGTAAACTTAAATTCTACTTTTATCGGTTTTCCTTTTTCGGGTACCTATTCTTCGCATTTTACATTTAATTTTGACTGTAAAATTTGACTATCTACAGCAATTCCAGGGAGGGTGGCTAGGGTGGATAATAATATCCTTTGCCATCATGACGTTTCGCTTCCTAGATATTATCTTTGTCCTATGTCTTCTTCTCGATGTATGCTCTTTCCATGGCATTGTATTATCTGTTTCAGGTTTATATTCTAAAACCTTTCGCTTTCTTGTAAATGGTAGTTCTTCATTTATGTTTTCTGACTCAATTATCGATTGAGGTTCAGGAAACTGTCTTTTTCTTCTTCTTCCAGGAATATTGTCAGAGGAAATAAATCTATTTTTTGCCTTATCTCTACTTAATATAGGCAAACTTGAGGAATTGCATTCTACTTCTAAGAGCTCATTCTGAATATTTTCTATTTTCGTACATTCTATTTTGCTAGGGAGGGTATTATCCCCATCCTCTACCTGCAAATATTCTCCAGCAACAGGGAGGGTATTATAGTCTTCCTCTGCCTGTGCATATTTCAACGCTACAGGGAGGGTATTATCATCTTCCTCTGCCTGCGCATTTTCTAAAGTGAGGAAATCCAACGTTTCCTCTTTATAGTCATTTACAAAATCATCCTCTTTTTTAAAAATATCCTCTTTTGACATCATTAAAATATTTTCCTCCTGGTTACTATACATTTCGTATGGGAGAGTATCCTGATTATCACAACATATATTATTTGACGACCTAGTTGATTGTGAAAAATTACTGTACTTAGATTGACCTGCATTGTTTATTCTATCTGAACCATAATTATTATTATTATTATTATTTATAAAACTAGTTCTGCCCTTTAAGTTCGAATCTAAATGATTAGTAAAATATTCGTATTGAAAATCATAGCGCCTCTGACTGATATTTGAATTTACTTGCTGTGATTGTCTTTTATTTATGTTAGAATTTTGAGAATGATAAGAATTTCTGGAATATGCTGATGTTTTGGATTCTAATAATATATCTTTTAAATCGCTTATTTTATAGATTATATTTTTCAAACTCTGGAAATTCATATTTTCAGTAAGCAGAAGATAATAATGATAATCATACGATTCATGTAAACCATATTCGAATTGATCTTTAAATATTTCAAAATTTATTTTACCATAGATTTCATGTGCAATTGATAGTAAATCGTAATAATAAGATTTTATATCTTCATTTTTTCCCTGTTTCCGTGTACGGAATTTAGATTTTAGTTTGCGTAGTGATATTTCACTTCCAAACTCTAAAATAAAATCTTTTTTGATATCGCTCCAGACTTTATTAAAATTATTTTTGTCATAACATATTCCTTATACCAAAAAAAGCAGCGTTTTCTAAGTAACATTCTAAATATTTTATCTTAAAAGCATAATTCCAGCCATTCTTACTAGTTATTTTATCATATTCTCGAATAAAAGAAATTGGGCAGTCGATTGTAGGGTCAAAAGTAGGTGGCGGTATAAATTCCGGTAGAACAGGTGCTTTTACAAAAGACATTAAAATATATTTAAAAAAATCAATTTAAATAATAATAAAATAAATAAATTCTAAACTATCATTAAAATAATTATCGCTCAGTATATCATGTAATGAAATACATTTTTCAACACACACAGACGTACAATGCAGTTCTAACTAAGTCAGCAGTATTTGTAACACGAATTAAATAAATATGGTCGCTTCCTTCAACACTCATATTTCAAAATATTCCTAACAAGAATAATATTTTCTAGGTCAGTGTCATCCTTGATAATGATATTCAACCAACAGGTTAAATTCTACAGTTTAAATAACTGAAATAATAAAATTCTCATTTAAAAATTATATTTATCATTATATATTTATCATGGCAACACTAAAAATAATTTAAAATATACTGTCTATCAATATACTGGATGTCGTTTTATGTGTCCTTATAGAATAAAAATAAATAAATTATTCTCAATAATAAAAATTCTCAACATTCACAAAAATTATTACCATATGCAGTGATAAAAGAAAAATTAAACAATAAGGATTCGACAGCATTTTCTCTCTAAATAGTGTAAAAAATACTGGACATTTAATAAAAAAAAATGTTCCTACACATTGAATTTATAAATGGTAAAAAATAAACAGTAAAAAATATTCAAGAAACATAGTAAAATAGACACACAGTAAAAATATGGAGTAAAAAAAAAATTAAAATAAGATTCGAGGAACCTAAAAAAGATATTATACCCTGATTCGCACAGTTGTATTAATGAAGTTTTCTAACTCGAAGTCGGCTCGTGCTATTTCCTTCCAATTTACAATTAAAATGTCAGCATAATACTTAATTTCTCCGTTTAATTTTCTCAGTTTGTATACGGT